TATTATTTAATACTATATGATACGGGCTATGTATAGTATACATGTGAGTGTATGTTATGAAAATGGAAATAAAAAAATATTTTAAAAAAATCATCAGTGTTGGATTGGTATACATGAATCAAAGTAAGGGGTTTTATATTTCCCCTCAAAAATATAACAATCAGGTATACACTCCATTACTATTTGAAGCAGCAGATGCATTCAGCAAAACAGAATTGATGCATACACCAATATATAGTACTCATTCAGTTAAGAATAAGTATTGTACGTACTGTATGTGTAGTGTAATACTTTCTGCTCTCTAATTTGTAAAACACTGTTTCAACATTTAAGTTTTCCATTGATAGTTCATCTTTAAAAAAAAATCCAAGGTAACCATGTTGATCCAAATGATAAAACAGGGACAGTCCAAAACTAGTAAGCCTTTATATCAAAGGTATGGCTAAACATGAGAAAACACAGAAAGAAAATGAGAAAAATTTGGGTAGGTTTTCCTCTCCCTACTTCTTCAGTAAGAAGAAGTGAAAACTAAGAAGTGGAAATTTCCCCTCATATCTGTAGTTTTGGCATGCCTAGTGTGATTTTATATTATTACTAGAGTATGAAATTCATGTGGAGTGCACATTGTATATTGCTAGAAGAAAACAATTTTCATAATCCCTATAGGTTTAGCTATTAAATTTTCTGGTCCCAGGGGAAATATATAATATGATTTTTTGTTTGTTTTAATAACAGGCTTTATAGACGTTTATTTTTCTCTCTTGTCAATATACTGGGATGTTAAGAAGCACAAATAACATTCGTGTAAAGTCTTAGTCATATAACCCTATGAATTAAACTGCCACTAATCATTTCTAGTTTTTCAGGATCCAAAATGGGTTGGTCACCAGCACTAGAGATTTAGTCTTCCAAGCTTTTGGACTCGTGCTGGAGCCCATCCTCAGGGAACTTCTCTCACACCAGAAATGTATGCTATGGCTATTCTATGTGTAGGATTTATGTAGTGCCTGGCTATATGGCTTTCTATTAATCGATTGGGGTGTTGATGGGTGTTGATTTATATTTTATCATTTATTATAATAGTCATTTTAATATATTACTGAAATATAAAAATTGTTTTGAAATGCTGAATTGTTTATTCTTTTCAATTCAATACTGCTCACCAACCCCCAAGATTATAACAATATAAAAATGGTATAAACCTGTTTTTTTGAAATACCTTATTTATTAAATTATATTCCCTCTACAACATGTGTCAAACTCGCAGAGTCACATTGCCATCATGTGACATTTCGTGACGCATTCCCCATTTGCGGAGCTAGGTTGGGCGTGGCCTACACAGACTGCCAGTTTGACACCCCTACTCTACCACACTTCAAAGTATGATTTCAATCAAAGTATGAATTTGAATTAAAAACTAAATATGGTTCTCAGTCTGGAAAAGTCTGCATACCTCTGGTATGCCCAAGTATTAGAAAACTGGGATGGTAGTACCAGGTGGCAAAATAAAGCAACAATTCTAGTTTTTTAAAAACAATTTGGCTTTGGCATGACTGTGGAAAACAGAATGGGGGTCAAATGCATAAAAGGAAGTCTAGAACAGAAATTAAATACATGGATAAATGTTCTGCTCTCAACATTGGATTATCTATCCACAATAATTTATTAACCTCTTTTGTTTAACCCTAAATCTTTTAGAAAACTATTCAGACATAAGAAAAAGAGAAAAACTCATTTCCTAGATATTGATAGAAGAAATGTGAATGAAACACTGGAGGTTACATTAAAAGTTATGTGTGTGATTCCCCAAGTTGCAGGTGCAGCATTTTCTAAACTAGGATTTAGAAACTATTAGGAGCACAAAGCTAACAATTTAACTGCAATCTACATTTGCTTAAACGGAAACTTTTCCTATTTGTTGCGTATGCTCCCAAGTATTTGCTTTTTAAATCAGGATTGTATAATTTAGTGCTACTGAATCTATTTCACATTGTTCTTATTTGAGATACTTTGAAATAATCAATTCTATAACAAGATTCCCTCATCATTACCCAAGGTTTATACTTACTCAAAAGAAAACCCATCGAGCCTGAAAAGAGATAAATTGTACATTGTACTATTAGTAAAAAAAAAGTCTATCTGTATACTGTCCATTTATTTTAATTTCCACCGTTAGTTGAGAAACTGCACTCTGAAGACATTTATTAAGAAATCCTAGCTAGATTCATATGCATTAGTAGTCATTGTATTGTGAAAATACTTTATTTTTGCTACATTTGTTCCAACTGTGAAAATAGTACAACTGCAATAGTGAAGACACTTTGAATCTACTTTTAACAATCTTCAACATATACGTTTGATACACTAGTTGAGGTATCAAGCTAGAAACCCAAAGAGTTCTAATCCCACTTTAGGCACAAAGCCAACTTGATGACCTTGGGTTAGTCACTTTCTGACTAACTATATTCTCAGAATATATATATTCTGATGAGTAATATTTTTCATATGTTTTGTTCTTTAGTACAGACATTTGAGATTGGGGCTTCTTATACGAGGTCTGCAAAGCAAACTGCTTATACATGACTGCATATTTACTTTGCATATTTTGGATTATGCTAGCACTTTATACAGCTTGAAGAAGATCTAAATGTTTTTGCTGAAAGTAAGGTGCAAATCCCAAAACCGAAGTGCAGTAGCAAGCCAAGGCACAGTTGAAGTGGGATATGGGTTGGAAACACTTACTGGTAATCGGTAGAACTTCCTTTCCTCTTCCTGTTACAATCCATTCCTGAAGAGCTAAGAGAACTAGAAATCAAATCAGTGGGACCAGGTGACATAAAATCACTGATGGTAGAGGAAATGTCCATCCTTTGGTCAGCCATTGGATTGCCTGGAATTATTAAGAGGGAAAAAAGAAACTGAAGGATTATATTAAAAAGTCAATTGTTTCTATAGTTACATAGTCTTTTGTACCCCAATGCTCAGTTGATTTATTATTTCATTCCTTAGCATTCCTCTGCATCAAACAGAAAAGTAACCTGCTACAACAAAACTTCCCAAGCCTGGGTAAATTACCCAAAATGGGGTAAAAGTGTTTTTTCTTTAGGTAATGACACACAAAAACATTACTCAATCACAACAGGGATATTTAAATTGATTTAAAGTGTTTGACCTACATGAGTAGAAAGGACTTTCTGATAAGCAGTTTGGGGTAACAAAGGAGCAAATGGAGAAGCTCTGTGCTAGAAGGAACAGTTAAGAAAAAGTCCCATGCTATATCATGCTCTCCTATATGCTTTTGGGGAGCTCACAAACAAGAGACTATTTATGTCCCAAAGGCTCTAACTATTGACACTGATTATATCTGCTAATGATAGATCTCTTTTTTTAAGAGTGTAATGCCAATAGATAGTTGGTTGAGTCAGGGGCCATTCATGTTTCAAAACTGACCTTGGAAAGCACATATATCATTTAAGTCAAAATCAAATTCTCATGCCCTTGGGACAAATGCTGAACACTGATGTACTTTGTAAAATAAAAACAAAAATTAGGTGAACTTGATAAGACTTGTGCTATTCTTTCTATGCAATATTTTAGCTGTCACAAGATTCTTTGTTAATGTTATTCCTATCATAACACAGTATTATGTGATCTAGGATGGTGTCAAGGCTAAAGGTGCCGGACTAGAAACCAGATGATTGTGTGTTCTAATTCTGATTTAGTCATGGAAGCCAGCTGGATGACCTTGAATCAGTCCCTTTCTCTAACCCTAGGAAGAATCCTAGAAAAGAAAGATTTATGAAAAATATTGCCAACAAAAAGGGTGTGGGATGCACCATTTGGTATTATATTTACATTTGACAGGCAAAGATATCGTCTCAACTCCGTATGGAAAGCTCGAGATTTTTATCACAATATTCTGAAGGCGGGACACCCTGCACCATCTGGATCCGGAGAAAGACCACAAGAAGGACAAGACAGACAGCAAACCACACAACTACCAGACAAGATGTACCATCTCCCCTCCCCGGAAGGGCAAGGTGTTATGAAACAAAGACCTAGCCATATGACTACCAGACAAATGGAAAAACAAGCTAAAAGGCAACAACC